AAAGGTGCGGCCAAAAAAAAAGATTCAATGTGCGACTTAAAGGAATGAAATCAAAATTGGTGGCCAAACTGGTAGCTACACTTATAGCATTGATAAGAATTTTACAGCAAATATTCATTCATTAATAAGCTAGGACGAGTTTCTTTTGTGTTAAACTTGCGGCAGCGATAAAATTTCAATACCAATCAGTTTACAAAATTATTAATAGTAAAAATATCTAAATATATTAAGTTTTCTAAAGCATACGTTTATAAAAACAGTAACCCATAACTGATAGGTATATCATCAATAGTCCACCATCATAAGAAATGTCACTTTTCACAGTTACACATATTTCCATGAAACTGTGAATCAGTATTCTTTCTGTTTTAAGGAAAATATTTGATGGAAAGTTATTTTAATTGCAAACTCTTTAGCATACGAAACTAAGAATTCACAAGCAAGAAACCTTCAGGAACGGTGGTGGCGTGGGAACACTTTTAAGACTTAAAAATAGACTTTAAAATCCGACGGGTCCATCTCTCTAGGGATAACAAACTCGGGGTGCCTATGAAACCCTTCACGCACTGAATAAGCCCATAGTTTCAAAACTAATAAGCTATGCTATTAAAATGCGTGTATATGATTGTAATAATCTTATCTGATGAGTGAACTCTGACATCAAATTCACATTTGTGGTTGTAGTTTCTAATGAACCCACGTAATGAACAGATATAAATATAACCTTACAGCGCTAAACATGATGTTTCCTTTCATAAATATGTTTGGCATACGTTCTTATACAATTGTTGCATACGGTTCTCTAACACCAGCACGTTTATACACAAACAGATTAAAACAAAAATACCTGAAACAAGAAAATATTTACTCAAATTTCAATGATTACAGCACATGATAATAATAGTGTATGAAATTTCACTGCACAATTTAAAGCACGTTATGAGTATTGTGTGCAAATAATCAAGAAAAACATTAATTTCTTACGTATGTATTAAATAATTCATTGAAAATTTGTACTTAACACCCACTTTTAACTTCAGTTCTTAATAATGTTACATAATTTCGTCTTGCAGCGTCATCGACGTTAGTTTTTTTCGTATATGTGTTTCGTATATGCTATTATCAAAAGACATTCTGATACGATACTCGAATTCTGCACAACTCAAATTGGAATGAAATAAACACTATCTAAACCATCGCATAAAACATAACTATAAACAACCAATTGAAACTCTATGAACAAAGTAAGCCTAAAATAAGTTCAAAGAAGAAAATCATTAAAGATAAAATACACCAGCAAAATCAAACAAAAATCGGTAAATGTGTAATTAAAACTCAAAAATAATGAAATAAATGCACGGTCAAGATCAAACGAGAGAAATGACGTAAACAAAAAGAATGAACTGTTGACATTCTATATACTGGAGTTGCCATGCTATGATGTTTTGAAGTAACAGAAAATATACTCAAGAGCCACTATTGATGTATGACCATCCTCGTGGATGGGCTTCCTGCCTCTCTGGATACCTTATAGA